CAGTTTGCAGATCCTTTGTCAGTGTCAGCCATGTGGATGAGTCATGGCCATTGCTTGGCCAATGTGCTCTCTGTGGAAGCCTGAGAGAATATTTTCTCTCCATGTGACTCTCCTTAGGCACACTCTACATTGTTGATCACTTTCCTCTGCAGTCCCATAATCTTGATCAGTAAATTTGGGACACAACTGAGATACTAATACCTGATTTTGTAAGTTGCTACATGAAAGATCACATCAAAAGTGAACAGAGGAGAGGAGAGTGGAGGAGGTAGAGAAGAGGGCATATAGCAATCTGTTTGGGCTCTGTAGTGAAGGGTATCTCCATGCTTCTACTGCTATTACCTGGGAGGGTAGACTTCGGCTATTGTCGGAGTGGAACAACCCATGAAGAATAGAGGGACACAGAGGATCATAGAGATGGTGATGATGGTGGCAGCCACTCGGGGCATGGTTTGCAGAGGGAAAGCAAAACGCTTCATGAGGATTCCTCCGAACAGCATCCCTAATGCTGCAGCCGGGAGGTTGACAGCACCTAAGGATGGAGAGAAGGAGCTGGGCTGGATACACAGCCAGGGTGCACTAACCTGGACCACCACAAAAGGAGCAGGAAGGTGCACTAGAGAAGTTGAGCTATAACTAACTGCTGGCATCAACTGAGCATTTACTGTTGTCAGGCACGTCTAGAGAGTGATCCTTGCCACAGCATTTCTCGGCCTGTGCAGAGGCATGAAGACGCAGAGCCCTTGCTACCTGAGAAATGGGGTTTCTTAAGCACCTTGTATTATCTAGCCCTCATGGCATCCTGCCTGTGACCACACAGGCTGAGTAGGGCAAAGGCCATGACTCCTGAGCTGACAGAGACCAAAGGCCAGAGGGGGATGTCATAGCCAAGGACCACAAAGGAAGTCAGAGGGACAGGGGCATCATCCTCATATCTCATGTATTGACTACCGTGCCCAGACCATAGGGTCAAATTCACCCAATAATGAGAGTTGGCTCAACGATTCACTTGGATACCTCATGGGACCACATCGTCAGCCGTGAAAAGTGCTGATGTTTGGCCCTGCCTTCATCCTGGCTGTGCTGCCCTATGTGATACTGAGTGTATGAGCTGTGCACAGCTCTCCAAAGGGGTCTAGTATCTGTTTGGGTTGAGGACCATTCTTAACAAAACAAATGTGTTCAAGTTATTGAAGGACAAGGGAAGGAACTCGGGAAGATTTTGTTTTCTGCCCCCAGTTCCATTCCCCTCTCTCCTCTCTTGACCCCAGTGAGGTCAGCTGGGTCAGACATGCAGCTCCTTGGCTGGGAGGAAGGCAGCCTCCAGCCTCCACCCACTCCTGAATGGAATAATAAGAGGTCCAGAGATCTGCCAAGAACATTCTAAATTACCAACCAGGAAAAATGTCCTTAAACTTCTTTCTTCTGGACAAGTCCCCTGTCTCCTGTCTGTGTCCGGTTCAGCCTTTGAGTGTCCCTGAGCAGAGAGTGGAGTAGCCAGGCCCTCCCTCAGGTGGTGCCACCCAGCTCCCTCTGCACCCTCTGGACCCACCAATGAGAAAGTTGGCATAGGCTGCAGAGGTGCCATACTGCTTCTCTAGGAACTTGTTGAGGAATGTGGAGAGGCCGGCGATGACGGAGGAGAAGGTACACTGGGCCAGGACCACCAGCATGAAGAGTGGGTTCATGAGCAGCCTCAGGAAGATGCGTGGGAATCCTATGAGTAGACTGTCGTCAGGAGCCAGACCAGAGCCATCCTGGCTACTTCTAGACTGGCCACTGCCCTGCATCCTTCCTCCAGATTACTCTCTTCTTTAGGACAAAATTAGAGGCACCAAGATGTGCAGTGGCCAGCCCTGGAGCACAAAGACACTGGGGCACCCATTCCACATGCTCATGGGCTATGAGGAGGAGGTACCTAGTGGTGGGCAGATATGAAACAGAACTAACACTTTCCCCATGCGAAAGGCAAGAAGTGGAGGCCGGACTACAGGGTCGGAGTAGAGATTGCCTGCCTGAATTTGATTGCTGGTAGCTGCGAAGACGTAACCAGCAGTGTTCTCACAGAAGCAGGTAACCTTGGAGGTGGACGTATAATCATAGACCACCTGTTCTGACTGCCCCTGGCCTCCCCACGCCCCGCCCCTTCTCCAAGCTGCTGCTGGGTCAGTCAATTACTTTTAATGAAATCCAACAGGGAACCTCTTGACCTGACCTCCTCCATCTTTCTTGCTCCATCTTCTGTAGCAGAACTCTGAAGGCAGAAGGAGTAAGTGTTAGCAGCCCTTCCCTGGAACCATGACCCTCTGGGCCCAGGGCTCAGGGCTCAGGGCTGGTGGCTGTGTACAGGAGTGCGTCCAGAGAACACGCTTGAAGCACACAGCACCTGTATGTCCATGAGCCTGGTGCCTCGTCTGCAGACCAGAATGCATCTATGCCAATGCATTCCGTGATACCTAAGGGTGTATTATTTCACATCTAACTTTCACATGACTAATGACAAAGGTGTCTTCCTAGATTCCACTCCTTGTCTGTATGTCATGGTTACCCTTCTCTCTGGTCCTCAGGTTCCAGGGACATCTGCCTTGTGGGGCACTGAGATCTACATACACTGTTTTTAGCTCTTTCCTTTTACTCTCCCGTGCTTCCTTCTGGGCCCACAGGTGAGTCCTGCTCAAGCGTCTGTTCTAGCCATTCCCTGGCACCCTTGTTTCCTCATGAACCTGCCTCCTTCTGAGAGCAACCACCCCAGCCTCCACTCTGGGTCTGGAGCACCACACAGAGTTCTGAGTTCTGCCACTGTAAGGATCCTGCAGGAAACTCGGTGCCGGTAACAGGCTCTCCAGCCACTGAGTTCTTACTCCGTGCTGGGCACTGGGCATACTGCACATATGTTATCTCCCATCTCACAGCTTTCTTCTAAGATAGCTACTCTAATGGTTTTGTCTGTTCTAAAGAAGAGGAAGGTCAGATGCAAAGCATCTTGCCTGAAATCACTCTGCTAGTTGATGAGTAACACAGGTGCAACCAACTGCAGGCTATGTGACGCCAGCCAAACCACCAGGGCTCTCTGCTAATCTCTAAAATTTTTCCCTAAGACAAGCCAAGGTCTTCCACCCCACCACTCCACCCACAGCTCAGCTTTATTTCATCCCCCACATTGCCAAATACTGAGCTTTATTTTGGACTCAAACCTGGGTTCAGATATGATCTCCTTTGATCTAGTCCATGGCTGGGTCCTCCCCAGCTTCCCTCCAGGAACATCTGGCCTTACTCTTTTCCTAGCTCTCTGACAGCCAGACCCTGTCCTCAACTGTGTGCTCCATCTCTCACCTGAACTTCAGGTATTCCTCACACCTAACCTTAACCCAGCTTCCCTGTTGCCACCAAGTGACCACACCCAGTCGGTACAGTGCCTAGGACCTCATGGAATGCCTCCTGTGCAGAGCACAGGCTGTAGACACGGCAGGCTCACATGGAGAGCCACCCAGTCTTCTTTTCCATGTTTTCTATTGTCATCCTTCCTTAATTCCTTTCCCCAGACAGGATGAGAAGATGTATGGATTGTCACCCTCCTCAAAATATTCTCCACTTTCTACCCATTCTCACATGGGCCAGTGCTCAGAGCCTCCCTTCTTAGTCTTACCTATTCAGCTTTTATGGACTCTTACCCAGAGCCTCCCTTCTTAGTCTTACCTATTCAGCTTTTATGGACTCTTACCTTTTTATTCCAGTTTATATGAACTCAGTGTTTCCCAAACTATATTCCCTAGGGTCCCCCAGCATGACCCTCAGTTCAACATCACCTGGAATTTGCCTAACCTGCTGGAGCTTTTCAGTTCTACTTATTTTCTACACCTGCCTATCTTTCTTAAACTCTGCCATGGGCACTTAGAAACTTACATTTGTTCTTCTGGGCATCACACGAGGAAAGAAGAAAAAGGGGACAGAAGTGAGAACCAAACAAGCTGAAGAAATGAGCAGGCCCAGCCACCAGGCTCCAATCCATCGAGGGTCACTTGGACTCAAGTTAACTTTAGCTGAAGAGAAACAAAAGATCACAGGTATTCATTGAATAAATGCATGTTCTCACATTACTGGAAAGAGAGGCTCTATTCAGGGAGTGTTCTGTTGACTTCTCCCTGCATGAAGACAAAGCAAACCACGAGCTAGAACCTTAGTCAGGACAACATTCCATCTCTAGGCATTGTGGTTTTCCCAGAGAAGTGAGGCTACTGCATACAGAGTTGGGCATTAGCAAGTCCCCAGACTGAAGGACAGTATGTTCCCCTCACTGATTTTGTTCCAAGCCCATGGTGAAAAGAGCTGATGCCCATGGTCCAGACCCTACACACTTTACATCTATTATCCCATTGGGCTCACCAAGGAGGGATTGAGGTAGGGGTTACATCTATTACTTCTAGCCAATCAAGAATTGAAAGTCTGAGAGTTTAATTCTTTTGCCCAATATTAAGGTTAGTAATTTCAACACTGTTTTCTGGGTGTCTAAACTTATGCTTTTAATCACTGAAATCTACTTAATCTCAGCTTTATTGATCCTTTCTGAAAGGGATCTGGGGAAGTAACCACCAACAGTGTGTGCTGCCTGGCTGTCAAGGAGGCACCCTTCCTTGGCCACTCTCCATCCACACATCTGGAAGTCTTCCATTGCATCTGCCTTTGCAAACAAATTGTGTGCACAGGGGAAGAGAAGATAGCAGAGAAGTTTACAGTTACATAGTGACAGGCATCCCTGGGCACTGTCCCAGGTGGCCTGGGAGCTCAGTTACTGGTTTCTTTGGGCATCCAGGCATCAGGGACCAATTTAGAAAGTGCCAACAAAAAGCCAAAGATGGCTTGATCCTGAAGCATAAAGCTCTGGCTTGCTGCTTCCACCTGAAGTATAGACAATTGATACTGTGATGTGACAGCCCCTGGGGACAGGAGGCTACACTCTGATAGCAGGTGAAGTTTAATGCCTGCCTGATTCTTGGTGAGACGGCCTGCTTGTGAGCCAGGCACTGGTGGGGCTGCTCTTCCGGAGGGTCTCCCAGTGCATCCTCAGGAGAAGGGCAACTTCAGACAGCACTCCTTGTGCTTCCCACCTTCTAGGCTGTATTCAGGTGGCTTCCTCCTTCCCATCACTACTGGTAGAGATCCCACCTATCTGTCATGGCTCCACACAGACATCACAGCCCCAGGAAATCCTCCCTGACTGTCCCCCTCACACAGAAATGGTCTCTCCTGCTCCTAAACTTCCAAGTTGGCCAGACATGCTGGCCCATGCCTATAATCCCAGCATTCTGGGAGGTTGAGGCAGGAAGATCATAAGTTTGAACCCAGTGTGGAGAACTTAATATTGTGGAGAGAACCTGTCTGGAAAAAAAAAGGCATAGTGGTATAGTTCAGTGCTAAAGTTCTAGGTTCAAGCCCCCCCCCCCAACAAACAAACAAACAAAACAGCAAAAAACCAACATTCTCATTAAACAGTCAACCACACAAAAACTTTGGCATTCCCCCGACCACACTGCCAACCTTTCCTGTCTTCTGGGAGGCTGGGGATACAAGACATGCCCACAGAGGCAAGGAGCCTTTGCTGAGCTGGGGGCAGTGGCACACACTTGTAACACTAACTACATGGGTGGCTGAGGCAGGAGGATTGCAAGTTCAACGCCGGTTGGGACAACTTGAAGAAAACTTAGTGTATTAAAAAAAAAAAAAAAAAGCAATAGGGCCTAGAGATGTAGCTTAGTGTTCTGGTCCTTTAAATGTTAATTCAACACTTGTGCCTGGCTTGCGGACTATAGTTTCTCATTCTAAGATTTCCAGTGACTTAGTCTCCATACTATTTTGTAGAAGAATATGAGCTCATATCCTAGCATACATTAAGCTTACTCTAATCTTTACAACCGCTGTAATTTTACAAGCATCTACAGATGAGGAAACTGAGCTTCATAAAGATCAAGTTACTAAGACAGATGCCTTCTGCTAGTAAAAGATGGAAACAGGAGTAGACACAGTTCTGGCGCCCACACAGGGTACAGGCACCACGTCACACTCCTCTGGATGAATCATCACCTATAGGTATATCTTATGCAGTGCTTCTTTTTCCTTTGAGAGTTCTTATTAATTTATTTGTTTTTAAACAATCAGCAGCATCTTGAAGAACCAGAGAACTACTTTTAATGCCACCATCAAGATGAGCAGCTACGGAGACCATTGCCGAGGGCTGCCCTAGGTCTTAAGGCTCACACTGTGAGCTTCTTAAGGGCAGGAAGTGTATTTGCTCCAGCAGCTTATGTCCCCCTGGATCCAGCAAGAGCTCTGGTGAGGGGACACATGGACTGCCTGCTTCTGCCTGTCCTTCAGGCAGGTGGCAAGCAGCACCTGTAGCTGAGGCCTCATTCTCTGCCCCAGTTAGACAGGAGGTGGGGTGGGGATGTTTTATGCAGTTGCATCACTCACCTGTGTCAACCCTGCCGTAGTCCACAAAGATCTGCAGCATGACAGAGCCCAGCAGGTACCCAAAAGCTGGTCCAAAGACAGCAATGGCAAATAGGATGGCTGGAAATTGAAGCGAAAGAAAGGATGCTGAGGGGACAGAGAAGACTGGGCAGCCTCAGGCTTCTAAATTTAGGGGATTGCTGACAAGTCACCCATCTGTTCCCTGGCTCTAACAAGCTCATACCATGGTATCCCCCATGGAGAAGGCCATAACTACTCAACACGCCAAGACTTAAAGCATCAAGCCTGCTTGTCCTCCAGCCACCTGCCAGAGACACCTGCTGGACAGGAAGGAAAGAGCTCCCATGGCATGTTTAAAATGCCAGCCCAGGGGTGCGTTGATGAGGTTTCCCACTGGCACAGTGCTGGTGACCCTACCAGGAGTTTATGGGGTCATAGAGCCTGTGGGTATGCTCTGTCTGGTGTGGGATGCAGGCCTGAGGGGCCTCAGTGTAGCTGGCTCTAAGGGAAGGATTTGGGCATTTGGATGAGCACCAGCTGTTTGCTATACATGTGCTTGTCTGAAGCCAATAATCCCCAAGTAGACAATTCAAGTAAAATGTGTATACCTCAGCTCTGAGCACAGGACTGGGCAGCACCAGGGGTTGCTGCTACCATATTTTCCCCAAAATAATACTTAGCCATGAAAAAAGCCTTAGCATGCTTTTTCAGGATGCCTATAAGCTCCAACCCCCAAAATAAGCCCCAGTAAAGATCATCTGTCAGGTGAACGCAGTACATCCATTGCAATACATGATAGATGCGTCAAATTATAAAATTATATTTACTAATATAAATAAATAATATCATTTATTTGTACAGACACGTGCACAAATAACATGCTCAGGTCATAAATAACAGAGGTGGTTGCATCTCATACGAGTCTTCATAGTTCAGTACACTGTGTTGAATCGAGACACAGTACTATGAACAGGGTACATGGACAAGAAGTGCTCATTTAAGGACAGCACTATTGCTGGGCCTGAGAAGTGGGGGCCGATGTTTCTATGGGGAACAGAGTCACAAGAAATTTGGGCCAGAATTTGGGACTTGGAGAGTTTTGATGATGCACTAGGAAAAGATGCCATGACTGTATTTGAATACATGTAGTTTGTTGTACATGATGAATGTAGATTGCTACACATGAGAAAACATAATCTAAAAGTAATCCCTATTGAGTCTTTTGGAGCAAAAATTAATAGGAGACCCCATCTATTTTGGGCAAAATATGGTATTGGTTTAGGACCCACACCGTGCCCTGCATGGGGCTGAGTGGGTACAGATGGCAGCTCATGTAATCCCAGAGATAATCCTAACTCCATCTGCAGGCACTGCACAGCTGGGCGTAAGAGTCCGCATTGACACCGGGTCTGCCTGACCCCCAGAGCTCTGCACTCAGCGACTGCATTGTGGGCAGAGAACCTGAGACTGCCTTAAGCCCTCAGGGCCTCGGCCAGTGCTGTGCCCTAGGCCCTCCCCCAGCCCACTTCCGGCCGGTGACTCACAGATGTACAGGGGCGAGTTGTTGGGCTCCGCGAAGTCGTCCACGTAGGAGATCCCAAATGGCTGAATGGGCACCGTGCCGATGCCCGCCAGCAGCTGCGCCATCACCATCAGGCCCCACATGCTGCTGGTCTCCTTCTGCACATCCTGCATGGTGTTCAGGCACTTCCCAGGGGGCAGGTTATGCCAACGCTTCTGGCAAAGCTCTGCCTGGACATGGCTGAGGTTCCCTGCAAGGAGAGTGCCCTGTGGTTACCATCAGCCCAGCCTCCCGGTCCTACCAACTGACCTCCAACCCTGGCCTTTCTTCCAGACCTCTGGAGACCAAGGTGAGAAGGAGCAGACCAGGTGACCACAGGAGCAGCCCTTCCCAGGTGGAAGGGGCATCATCTTCTCATGGTGTCCGTCCTTTCACCGGCACAGGTGCTGGTGGAGAGCTGAACATGAGGGACAGGCATCTCCATGGGAGAAAAGGGCCACTCAAAAGATAAAATAGAAAGTTAAGAAATTGGTTTTATCTCGAGGTAGCTCTGCAATATTCAGCAAATTTCTAATCTCTCTGAGCCTCAGTTTCCCTTGAAGCAGAGACTGAAAGGTAGTAGATATGGGGATTCCACAGGAGCCAAGAGAGGTAGAAGGTTGTTGCTCCTGAAAGGCCTGGCAGGTGAAGCTGGATGTTGTCCCTGAGCCAGCAGGCCCGGTGGCTGTACTTGCCCTCCGGAAAAAGGCTGGCGAAGCTCAATAATTCTGTAAGGCTCTCCTTCTCAGGATAACACTTTAGTCTCGAGGAACACAGTAGTAAAATACTGCTTCAAGACACAGGAGGGGTCTGTCTTACCCCCACCCCACTCAGGAATCCTTCCATCAACACTAAGCCTGTCCCCCACCCAGGTGTGGTATGGTGCTGGCAGACTCATGCAGATCCCTAGGGGGAGGTTCTGGTGGCCAAGGGCCTGCCACACCAATAGACGTGGGAAGGGCTATACTGGGATCTGGGTACTCTCTCTGCCAACATCCTTGACTTTCAAAGACCACCGATTCTAGCAAGAGGCCAAGCACAGCAGAGGGTAGGAGGCTGTGGTGGGCTAGGTGTGGACATTGGGCTCACCGCTCACCCATTGCCCTTGTGGCAGCAGCCTAGCAGAACACCCATAAAGTGCCACTCCTGAGATGGAAAAATGAGCAGACGCCATGGTCCCAGTGGCCTGCTCAAGATCAAATGTGCAAGTTGGGACTGGGGGCTGCTGTGGTTGACTGGCCCAGGAAGAGCTCAGGTATACACACAAACCTACCTGACCCGTGAAACTATTACTCAAACAAAGCAGCATGCACCCTTCTCTCCTGGCTTCCCAGGCCCAACTTTGACCAAATGGATATCTTTCTAAAGGGCCAACATACACTTAGGGTCCCGAAATAAAAGGCCTGCTGCCAAGTTTCCAAACAGTTAATTTCTTTCCAAACATTCATAACATTTCCAAGTACATTTATGTGAAGAAATGAATCCAATCTGAGTTCCCTGAAGCGTGCTTGGCTGAGCCATCCTCTTTATGTGGCCATGGCTCTCTGTACAACACTGTTTCAGACGCAGTGGGTGGCAGAGCCACATCTATGTTATATTCAAGAATGGTTTAAAGGTCACCCGAAGGCAAAAGACAATACAGGAAATAATTAGACCGGGCTCCTAGTGTGGCAGCTGAGGGACCCTGTGAGGGAAGTAGCATCTTCCCTCAGTGCCGGTGATCCTGGCTTTAGAGGGCAATGCCAGCACCACGTCCTGAGGGGCTATCAGGACCACAATTCACTCTGTCTTTGCTCACTGTTACTCAGCCCGTAGTGACCGTGTGGGCCCCGTGCTTAGGTGGGAGATGGGGAGGGATGGAAAGGGCGAGGCAGTGCCCTTACAAGCTCTTCAGTCCACTGTGGTCTGCAGACCATGGAAAAGGCAGCTGTGACATTGCTTGATGCAATCGAAACCACCAGGAGATGCCACTGGGTTGCTTATTACACAAAACAAAACAAAAAAACAGAAAACAACAAATGTGGGCAAGGTTGTAGAGAAATTAAAAATAGAATTACCATGTGGCCCAGAAGTTCCACTTCTGGATATATACCTAAAAGATTTGGAAGCAGAGCAGGTATTTGTACTCCCACATTCACAACACCATCATTTATAATACCCCAAAGGGAGAAACAACCCAACTATCAAGGAATGAGTGGATGGACAAGATATGCTACATACAATGGAGCATTATCCAGCCTAAAAAGGAAGAGAGTTCTGATGTCCGCGGTACTATGGACGAGCCTCGGCGACACTGTGCTAAGTGAAATAAGCCAGATGCAAAAAGACAAACACTGTATGACTCCATGGACAGATGGTATCTAAAGTAGTCGAATTCATAGAAACAGGAATGGTGGTCTTTGGGGCATATAAGAAGGGAGTGAGATAGAGTTTGCATAATAGTCAAAATGTATTTAGTACCACTGAGTGATACTTTTTGTAAAAATGGCTAACTGGAAATTTTTATGTGAGGTATATTTCACCACCATTGGGGAAAAAAAAAAATTGCCTGGCAGATATTGAGTCAGGGTGCTGGAGAGCAAACGGAAATGGTAGAAAATCCAGAGTTGTGGGGAGGAGGTTACTGGAGCAAGAGTCCTGAATGGAGACCCCACACACACAGGGAGAGGATAGGGATGCAGAGGATTAGGGATGTAGAGGATTAAGGATGCAGAGGATAGGGATGCAGAGGATTAGGGATGCAGAGGATAGGGATGTGGAGAATAGGGATGTAGAGGATTAAGGATGCAGAGGATAGGCATGCAGAGGATTAGGGATGGGGAGGATAGGGATGTAGAGGATTAAGGATGCAGGATAGGGATGCGGAAGATTAAGGATGCAGAGGATTAGGGATGCAGAGCATTAGGGATGCAGAGGCAATGACCCAGGGGGGTGGAGGAGCAGCAGCAGGGGCAGCAGCTCCAAGGGGCAGGCCTCGCTCTGCTCTGTGAGGAGAAATGAAGCTCCATCCAGGAAGAGCACTGTATTTCAGGAAAAACCCCAGAAGGGTGCAAATCTTGAGACGGGCAGTGCTGTGAAGACCCTGGGGGATTAAGGCTGTGTTTCAAGGCCCAAGTGTGTAGGGGAGTTACTCTGTCAGAGATGTCAGTGGTGGGAGAAGCAGAGTGGCTGGGGAAACAATTAATTTTGGATGAACTCGAGTTCTCTGTCTCATGAAGCTGAGGTGTGTGGACTGCATGCCAGGGCTGTGTGAGTGCGGCTGGGTAAGATGTATAAGGCCAGGCGAGTGTAGGACATGCTCCCTCAGGGAACCAAAGGGCCCGAGAGGAAGGGTTTCTTTTAAGAGAGTTAGTTCTTGACTTGCTGATTCTTGTCATTTGCCACATTCACATTTCTTAGAACTCTGTTGCTGATTTGGCCAGCAAAAGCATTTTTGCAGGATGTTTAATGATCAGCAAAGACCATAAAAATGTTGACTGCCTCGTTAAGCCTTCACAGGGCACATTGCGTGGTCCACCAGTGCCACAAAAATCCTTACAGAGTTTCTCCCAATACAGCCAGTATCCAGCAAGCAGAGTTCTCTGGGGATCATTTAATTGTTACTAACTTTAAAAATGTCAGATTACATGTCAGAAACAGCTTTTATAAAAATGTGTATTTTTTTTTTTTAAATTATCATTTGGCCCCAGTTACATCCAAGTCTACTGAGTGCCGCTTGGCAAGTTCTGTGCTCCACATTGGTTTACTGTCTCCTCATCACTCTCTTCTCCTTAAGCCAACCTGACTGCACCTAAGCCTGTCCCACATCAGGCTCTCACCCCTGTAAGTGGTGGGACAGTTAAAGGCAGCAAGGCTTCTGCCCCCAGGGCGCTGCTCTCCAATGGAGAAGCAGCTGGCACTCCTGAGGGCTGGGGCCAGGACCTGCTGCCTGGGCGTGTATGGGAGCAGGTGTTTATTATCAGATTCAGAATCAGATGTAATATGAGACTTGAAGAGCTCAAGCCTGGGATGGTCTGCATAGTGTGTTCTCTGTAGAGAACAGAACCTTCTAGAACTTGGATCTTTAGGTACTTTCAAAAATAAGAGAATAGATAGGTGAGTGTGAGGGATAGGAAAAAGGGAGAGAGGAGGCTTTGCAGAAGGACTAGCCTGTAGCAGACCTCCACTGATGGACGCTGAGAGTGGATGAGCCCTGCAGACAGAACTGGGGGCCGTGGCTTCTGGGCTCCATTCCCCTACAGCCTCCTCTCTGGAGCAGAGTTCTCAGCTTTCTTTAAGAGCTCAAGCTCATGAAAGAGAAAACCAGCAACCCCGCCATTTCGCATGCCTTATACCAGGTGACCCTCTGCACTCCTCCAAATCTCCCACTGTGTCACATCTCATGCATGGAACCATCCAGAGGGATGCCTGCCTATCCCAGCCACCACAGAGGTCCCCCTCTGCCATGGAGGGCTCTGGGGAGGGAGGGGAGTCTGTGGTAGTGTATGCTGGTCTGTTTCTCATCTTCCCTGAGGCAGACTTCTGGAAGGCTCCAGTTCATCAGAGCGCATTCTTCTTTCCCAGAGGACATCAGAGGCCTGGCTTTGCCAGTTTTCACAGGACTGTGAAATGCTAACTGAAAACAGGCGGGGCCCTCACCCCTCCTCCTGTTACCCCAGCCCCACCCCAGCAGCATGTGGGACTGAGTCAACTTTTTGACTCATCCCAAAATTTACATATGCAGAATTTTCTAATTTCTGGATCTCTCAGCAGGTTAGAAATAGAGGAGGCTGCCTGGAAGGTCTCTTTTCCTATCATGGAGCCCACAAGGATGGGGCAGGCCCTGGGAAGAGAGAGGTCTGACCACTTCATTGCTGCAGGCTCCTTTCCACCCCTCCTGCGGCCAGGCTGAGAGTACTGCAAGTTGGTCAGGGGCAGAGTAGGGGGGTGGTCTCTGGGCAAAAGTCTGGAGCTGGGGTGGAGAGGACCCTCGGAGGATCAGCTAGAGAAGGCTATTGCAGACAGTGCTTCCATTAACTGGTCCTTCTGTCGTTCTGGAGAGCAAACAGAGAAATTTGCCAGGAACCAGGAGAGTAGGTCCGGTTTCAACCCTGATCCTTGAAAGCCACCATCCCTCCCATTCAGGAAGGGTTGTGCCTGGTAGCTGGGAGATTGTGGAAGAGTAGGTTGAAATGAGGAGGAAGTTAACAATTTTGTTAACTCTCTTAAACC